CGATCCTGGCTACCAGCTCGTTTTCAACAATTGCATTTTTAATGGCTTTGAATGAGAGAAAAGTTGCTTTTCCACTCACTAAAACTAATTTGCCATTCCGCCAATCAGGGAAGAACTTCCCTGGAGCAACTATCGATTGCATTTTCTGCTTAATGCATACCTGCTTTAAGAGTTTGCGAATTTGAGTAGTTTGTGGACTGCTCTACAGCTCCAATTTTGTCATTTTTTTTTATTTATACCACGTTTATTAGCAATTTGGATCGATATAGATACGTAGATACATAGATTCCTCCAAAGCAAATGGTTCACTAACCAACTTGATCGAGCAATGCGTTTCTGTCTCTCCTTTTGTCAGTTCCTAGGGGAACTATAAGATATTAAATTAGGCATCCAGATTTCAACGATGCCCGTCCAACGCAAGTTCAGTTTTAAACAAGACACAACGCTCTAAACGAGCTCCTCGACTACCAGATACCCGTTACTCAGCTAGCGGCAGTGCGCACGAGGAAGTTCAACATTCTTTTGGGCATATCGATATGCCAAAAATAAATATTTCAAAAAATTTCAAAAGCACATTTTGTTTTAGAAACCCAAATAATAAAATCATAAATTTTAAACATTTTTCAAAAGTGTATGAGCGGCATTTTCGGGTGGTTTGTGGGCGGACAGATGGACATGGCTAGATCGACTCGGCTAGTGATATGATCAAGAATTTACATACTTGAAATGCGTTTGATAATGACATGGAATGGAAATAGGTAGCAAGGTGAAAATTGAGCAAGAAGGAACAGTATATGGCTTCGCGTTCTCCAAGACCATTTCCCATTTCCCATTTCCCACTTGGAACTCGATTTTTTGCGCCAGGCTTGAGCTTCGTCGACATAACTTAATGACGTCGTTTTATGTTTCACTTTGGCAGCGATGGCAATAAATTACCTGTGTCTTGACTCTTACTCGTGCTCCAGTGTTGCTTTCTGCTCCTGTTGTGAAATGTGCAATTTCGACCTTACCTGGCCACCCGTGCTCCGGCAGAAGAGAAATCCGGAGAATTCATTGCGTTAGGTGGTGGGATTACCGGAGTTGAGTTTCGTCGGTAGACAGCAGACGCCGTGAAAGTGAAATTCCGGGCATGCGGAGACTGAGGAGCACCCGAATGCATGGAAATGGAGATTCAACACCTGGGCAAATATTTCACATGACAAGCCAAGGTGAAAACGGTATGCCAACGGGTTGTCGTTAGCTTGATTCTGCCTGTGGTCGCCTGAAAAATGTGGTATAAGTGGCTTTAAGACTGTTCGGTTTTCACTCTGGCTGGGAGGAAGTCGACTTACTGGAGTACTTACTACCTTTAATACCAGCAAATAATGCTTATTAATGCATTATTGAGGAGCCATTAGTCAATTAAAGCTCGAAACAATACTGCGCTTTTCCGAACAATACACAAATGCCGCCTGTCAGTTGCATAAGCAAGGTGTAGTGTTTTTTAATTTCGTTGGCAGCGCAAAAATGAACTCGAAACTTGGCTGCACTTCCTGATGTGGCAGACACTGAAAGTGACAGAAACAGGGAAAAACAACGGAAAATTCGAAGGGGACGAAGTGGTTGCATTTTCACACCTGAGTGTTTTGCCAGTGGCAAGTTGAGCTTAACTAGACAGACAGTTGGATTGTCCAGGAGCGTCAAAGAATTCTCGTCTGATTGTGGATAAACTGTTTTTCACTTGGCTGTCACTGCTCCAACTTCGGCAGAATTAAATCTCATCTCTGCTCAAGAGCCTTCCATTCGAATGGCTCTTAAATATGTACAGAGTGTTCCTTAAAAGGCGGAAAGTTGTGCAAATATCCCAGGTAGATTTACCCCACAAAGTCCAGAGTCTTTTGCAAAATTTGTTTAAACACTCAGAGGCACTTGGGTAAAATGCACACGTAGCCACGTAGCCACGTAGCCACATAGCCGAAAAGAGGTAGAAACTTGAGGCAAACTATCAAAAATAAAAAGAACCACATTACACGGCCAATTGGGAACTGATTGGGTCTGATTTTGGCTCACTGAGGTGGATGAAAGTGCAGCTCGACCAGATTGATTGCTGTCTGCAGCGCTGGCAAAAATGCCTGCCCCTCGCCCAACCCCTCGCGAAATCCCCAGTCCCGGTCCAATTCCCCAAGCACCACCCACACTCACACATCCCGTCTAGAAATCCTGCCTGCACTCCAAGTGAAGAACATTTGGCCGCCGGGCGCCGCAAAGTATGCAATGAGTTTGCACTGAGCTGGCTGAGCGGCCGTGTTTGTGTCGTGTAATCTGGGCGTTATAAATAAGTAATTAGCACATAGTGCAGGTGCACTGACTCGTCAAACATTGCAACGCTCCCACATGCCGCAGATCACATGTGTGCACCGCATTTAATGGCCTCCGAGGAGCGCGATTCGCTTTCCAGGACCTTTGTCCTCGCATAATGGCGCTCTAGCCTTATCTTTCGAGCGTGTCAAACATTGCGTCTTGTCTCCGCGTTTGGGGCTGAGGCCAAAGGTGAGAAGGAGCGACCTTCGGGCCCCAACTAAAATAAGGCAAAGACGCACCTTGTTTGCTCGTCAAGCCGCCTTTATGAGAACTTGCCTCGATCATTTAGAATGCACGTGGTTTTAATTGCGGTTGCTCAAGAAATGCCAAGAAGTCAAACTCAACCAGTGCTTCACTTTTGCACTCCTCACTTCATGTTGGTATATTTAAGAATAATACGAGTATATGTAAATCAAACTTTAAATTACAAACCTTTTAAAATCAGTTCAAATATTCAATAAATATCAAATTCGTGTCCCACATATGCACGCTTTAATTTTTTAAAGCGTTTATTGCAAATGAGATCCTCTTAATGAGCACACTTTTCCAATGTTTGTTCAAGCGCAATGTGCTCCAATAAAGTTTCCGGCAATTCATCCTGAACAAGGACACCTGAAACGGACCGAAAAGGAGCCTGTCAGTCCGGCGACTTAATACCGAATCGGAAGCGAAATAATGGCGCCCGAATGGAGCAGATACATACGTGGACTCGTGGGCCTCCCATTCAATCAGGCAATTAACATTAATTATGATACACGCTCGAGGACCCATTTCCCTTTGGCCACTCATATCGTATACTTCAGCGCATTTGGCTCGCGTTAAAAGCATTTTTGCGACAACTGCTCTCGAAATTCAATTTGGGTTTCCTTTCTTCCGTGGTTTTCATTACTTTTTGCCTGCGACAATATGCGCTGCTGATTTCCCCACAGGCAGTTGGGGGGATTGTAATTACGGCGGACTGCGGGGAGGGCGGCTACTCACATATGGCAGTCGATATGACAGTTTGGTGCATCCATTTTCAGCAACTAATTGAAAGGTAAAATCTCTGGAGAGGTGCAAACATGTTGCAACGCTGCGTATTTGTTTGGTAAATATTATGTTCTGATTGCCGCCATTGAAAATTGGCATGTAATATGCATAAATGAAAACTAGGAACGCAATAGGCAAGGTGCTGGACTACCACATACCCCGGTACGTAGATATACTTGCAGCAAAGCGTCGGTTTCCAGCATCTTTATGGGAGTTGGATTGGATTATATTCCAATTAAAAATTAAAGCTTTATTGTAAAAACTTGACAGTGACAGTTTTTTGTTTGTTCGAGTCATGCGAATCTTTATGGTTACATACTTTTCAAGGAATCTAGCTTGCCTTTTTACTCTACGAGTAACTGGTATAATTACAAAATTGATTTACTAAATACATAGTTACTTCAATGCTAACACATGGATGTTAAAAATAATATGTATACACATCTAAAGTATAAACATGCCATATTTTAGGCCCCGGAGCATTTTCATTTAATTACTCTGAAACGTAGCTCCATTTCTATGAAAACCGCGTTGCTTTTCTCTATTTAACACGTCAAGAATTTCCATCTCTGATAACCTATTTCATTTGGATGCAAACTTTAATCGCGTTTTTTCACTTTGAGAACGAACGTGGCGTGAAAAACGGATGTAACGACTTCGGCACATTTTCAAACTTTATTTTTTCCCCTCTGTGACACATCGCTTACTCGGTTCGCTGCCTTTCAAACTCAATTAGTTTAATTAATTTGACGTAACGGTGCCATCTCTTTGTTGCCAATAACATCACCCGTGCAAAGATGTACAGATATGAAAAAGTAGCTGTGGGTCTCTGTGATTTTCAACGCACTTTTTGGAAGCCCTGCAATTGCACCCATCCATTTAGACCTTAAAACAGCGTCTGCATTTTCCATCGACTTACTCTTGTTAAGTTAAGATCTTGTTTAAGCCTTAAGATCGAACTTCTGCTCTGCCGCTGTGTATTTTGTACCTACATACTTCGTTCCAACCACCGATAAGTGGATTAGTCTTTTAGTTGAGTGGCTTAACGAACTGCAGCCAAACAGACAAAAAGGGGAAAATGGGGAAAAAAGTGGGAAATCTGTCTTCGTTTTTCAGCTGAGCCCCTGTTAAGCGGCAAATGTGGTGCAGCTAATGTGTGTATTATTGGATTTATTATTTCACGGCAACTAAACAGGGGGTTTACTCCCGATCGCTTGAATAAAGAACGTGGGGCGGAAAAGTTCACGAGACAATTAAGTGCAGCACAAAAGCAGAAGTACGGAAACGAGTTTTCCCTCTTAATTTCCTCATTGAGGGACTAAATGCTGCAATCAGGCAGCCACTTGAGCTTAAGTCGTTTCCTGAACCAATTGCCTATGCAAATTGCTTTGAGTTTCAATGCAGCAACATATAATTGATAAAGGGGCATTCCAAATCAGAAGAACTGGAGGGCCAATCAGCCGATGCTATTCGAATTTATCTTCTCCCAAGAAACGTGGAATATACTAAATGAATGGAACTGCCTTTCAATGGGAAATGTTAGCAACCTAATTAGTCGCGCATCGAGCGTAAAACTAGCGAAGTAATACCGGCACGTCAAGCTTCGATTTATTTATTTAAAAACCTCTGCCATGGTAGAGTGGGTCTGGCTGCTGTTCTCCACATTGCACATCCAAGACATAGGCGCCTCCAGTACATGGTGCAAAACCGAACTGTGCAGAGGACAACACGTGCTGTGCGATGACAATGGAGTGGGTAGTAAATGGGTAGTCCAAGTCATTCGGATCGCTTTACATGTTCTTCCAGAAGTTTCACTCTACTTGTCCTAGACAAGCCGCAGCCGTCGTGACAATGAGCTGGGATATGATAGAGCTAATCGTGGACCAGCACAATGGGTATCGCAACAAGTTTGCCGGCGGAATGGGTCAGCATGCGAAGGCGGCGAGGATGACCACGATCGAATGGGATCCGGAACTGGCCAGAGTAGCCGATGCTCTGGTGCGGCGGTGTGAGCCCGTCAGAGATCAGTGCGCCATAACGCCGAACTACAACCATGCGGAAATCAGCTACTCGCTGGAGAAGTACTTCTGCATGACCTCCAAAAAGGACGCCCTGAGGAAGCAGCTGGTTCACTGGTTTGACCCAAGCAGCAAGGACGAAGTGCAAAAGCTCTTCTTCTCCTGGACTGAAAATCAGCAGTAAGTCCACGAGCCAGCAACTGCCGACTATTATTGAAGACTGGTTCCAGGGAACTGTCCACAAACTACTTCCAGGTGCTGAGGGATCGAGCAAACCGCGTGGGCTGCGCCATAGTTGAATATATTCGACCAGCTCTGGTCCACCAGTTGCTGAAGTGCGTTTACAACTGCGGAGTGAGTCTCTGCGAGGACGATGGCAATCCTGTCTACGAGGACACCGATGACAAGCCCGCCTCCGAGTGCATGAAGGGAACCAATAAAAAATACCCCAATCTCTGCCACAAGGATGAGCTCGTGAAGAGCTGCAATGGCGGCTCTCTTTTCGATGAACCCGAAAATGATTATAACGATGGTAAAGAGGAAATTATTGAATATGACTACGAGGGCGGTCCCACCATGTCTACCATTTACACGCTTCCAACCTACGACCCAAATGATGTGTTGCCTCCGATACCAGACAACCCCGATTTCAGTCGATAAAATCTTTTAGGACCGCCTAGAATAAATGTTTTATGCGTATTAAATATTTGTTTAAAGTTAGTTAGCTTAGGCCCTAATAAATATTTCAATGGGTTCCGAATCAAATGGGAGGGACTGTGAATGGAAAATTAAACACATATATGACTCAAATATGTTAAATGTATTCATATTTTGGCTACCATGTGCAGCCTTAGATTGGTTGCAAAAATCTGCGAATTGGATTAATCTGAAAGCTGACTCATAAATAGGTTTCATCTGGTTTCAATGTGTGAAATCGTTGGAATATGTGGCTTTCGCCGCGAGGCACGTTATCAGAGTGGTCAGAAAAAGTATATGAAATGCAGGCTCTCGTATGGATGAGGTTTCTGGTAGGTGGGTTCCCTTGGCTCCCTGGGAAATCAAGGAACCAGGTCTGTGTCTCTCATGCCGCCCGATTTAGCCACTTGAAGTGCAACTGTAAATGAAATGAAAACGACCGCACACAAGTAACAAAACAGGACAACAAGTTCGTTTCCAGAGTTCAGGAGTGTTTCCCTGGAAAGGAGTGGAGTTTCTACTAGGAGACCGAAACTTATCAAGTGAGAAAAGTGCAGGAGCCCGGAATTTCCTTGGTTCATCGCATTTTCAGCCTGCCATTTGCAGTTCGGATTGGGTGCAAAGTGAAAACGAAATTCAATCAATTTCACGAAATAAAAGTCCTACCCCGATGCGCATTTCCACAGCAATGATTTCAGTTTATAATCCTCTTTCGTTTTACGAGTACTGAATGGTAATAATCTTCGATTGAGTCCTTATTTGATGCCGGGGTTAGTAGCCAGCAGTGCTGGTCGGTTTGCATGGATAATTAAGCCAGCATCAGCATAAAATGCGGCGATTCCCCAGCCAGGATCTTCAAGCTAGGTTTTAATATTTGCTTGCATACTAATGCGCGGGTTAACCCGTCCGGCTAAGCCGTCAAAACTGTGACGCAACCAATCTGAATTTTAATGCCAGCAGGTAGTGAGTAGGTGGCTTCTTGCCTCCGAGGAAGAGTCGGCCTGAATGGCTGTCGCAATGTATTAAATGGCCAACGTGGCTTTCGAGGGGTGGAGGGGTGGAGGGGATGGGCAGACTAGCACTAACCGCAATTTATGTCGACTTCACTTCCGGTCTGTGGGAAATAACTCTTGTTAGGCTGCCAGGAGCCAGAAGTCCTGCCCTGTTGTGCACTGTGCGTTGGTGTGGGTGAAGGTGGGGGTGTAGATATGGGTGTGGGTGTGGGTGTGCGGTTGCTGCTGCTGGTGGTGGCGGTATTTCTTGTCATCATTTTCAGGCAGCTGCAAATTAACTTGCATAATTCAAGCGTCAGTGGGAAAATGTGGCCCGAGTTCATCGGCGCATTTAAAGCCTGGCGAAGACTATTATGTCCTTGTGGCCTTGGTGCCTGTTAAATTATGGGCCCGCTGGGCGCATAAATCAACACAATGCCTTGTTCGCTCGCTCCCCTGCTCAATTAATAAGAAATTTCCATAAACGAGCTTTAATTAGATTGGGCGCCAAATTGAAAATGGTTGGCGTATACGAAGTTAGCCGGTTAGACTCTGCTAAAAGGTGCTTCCAATGGGAATTTTCAATGGAATATATATACGCCCTTATTGAACTTGCGTTCTTCCCTCTAAGAGTTTTGTACAAGTACAATTTTTGTCCAACCACTACTCCTGGTTGGAACTACTCCTCATTATGCATAGTCAGTATAGGAATGACGACAGTCTCTTTGTCCTTGGATGTGGCGCCACGAAAACGTCAGGATTCGGCACTCTCATAAATTCTATGGCGCGTGCGGTTCGGGTTTCTAGTTCTGAGCTCTGAGTTCTGGTGGCAGTAAATCTGAAAATGTTTAAGCACTATCCGAAAAATCGAGAAGCCACTGCAAAAGCCAATGACTGCCACTTGGCAACATTGGGAATTGAGCGCAGCGGAAACCGAGGAAAAAATTCGAAGAAAAGGAAGTAAAGTATAAAATGTGAATGCGAATGCGAATGCTGGCGGCTTGTTGCCGGCATTGGAAATTTACGAGTGACACAAATGTCCTTCCTGCTGCATTGCAGTCGCTGGGAAACTGGGAAACGGGAATGGGAGTGGAAATGTGAATGGGAATGGGAATGGGAATGGGAGAAGCTGGTTTAATGACAAGACAAATTATGAAATTTTTAGATGCTTAACTCCCTTGGCAAACTTTCAGATAAAAAATTAGTTTTGGGGCGCCCAAAGGAGAAGAGGCGAACGGTCATTGAAGATACATATATACATGTTTAAAAGCCTTGTGCTGCATTCAGTGTGATGTATTATTATGGCCTAGTATGAGCTTATTATGCATATTTTCAAAAATATAATTAATGCGATTTTTGACAAATGGTTTCTGCGAGCGCGCACCACATTTACATTATTCAATTGCGAAAGTGGCACGCACTGAATTTCAAATGGAAATGTTTCTGTTCGCCCATACTGCTTAACGAGTATAATTAAATAAACTTAAATTGGTCAACTTTAAAACTTTGCGTCACTGTCGCCAAGTGCAGTCCAAAGTTATTCGAATGCAGCGCAAGTTTTAAAGGCAATGCAATCCCTCGGAAATCCGCAAACAAAGCCGCCTGTCTTTCCTAGAACTTGGTCCTGGGTGAAATCATGGGATAACAATAAAGCACACAAAGCCAACGAAAAAGCCGCAAGAAGCTACCAAGTTAGAGACAAAGGCCCTTGCCACATATTGTCTCCTGGCCTGGAAGATGAAATGGAGACGGCAGATGAAAAGGAGGAGCAACTGGGACCGTTCCGCTCCTCAATTCACATGCATGTGGCCGTGTCAGCAGAAAGATTATCAACAATAAGAAATATGTCGACCTATCGAAGTTGAAGTGACAAAGTGTGCGGCGGTGGGCCCAGCCATCCATCCATTCGGATACAACCAGTGTTGTACCGTGGTACCCCAAATCTCAGGGCCCGACTTTTGTTAACAAGAAGGATATTGTGGCTGACAGGAGTCGACAACGTGCGGCCAGGATTGATGTGGGTGATGGCTGTGGATATTTGTGTTTGCCACTCGAAACAATAAATCCACTCGAGGCGAACCCCAAAAGGAAACTGAATCAACCACAATAACCCAGCGGCAAAGATCGCAAAAAGTGAAGGACCCCGTCGACCAGAAGATTCAAAGTCTTCGACAACTGAATTATGGACAAAGTTCGACAAGGTTGCTGAATTGATTTGGGTTCGACTGTATCTCAATTGACCAACTGACCTGTTCAGCTTATGTAAAAAGTACAACCAATCGATTTTCATTATTAATTGCTTCCGCTACTTTCCCACTACGCACAATGAGCGTAAATATTATGAAACGAAACAAAAAAGTTACACAAAGTTTGAGCTGGCTAGGAAAAAAAATTGTTTATTTAAAGGTTATATGGCACAGAAAAAACTTGTGTTCCATTACAACCACAAATCACTCAACACTTTACTGGGGAAAGTTTTTGAAAACTAATTAATTAACCTCTAATTGCATTGGCAATGAAATCCAATTAATCAATCTGCATTGCATACAACAGGAACAAACCTACTTGGTACTTTGATTAATTGCCAAAACTGGGAATGGCGAATAAAAATGCATTTCAAGATTGGCCAAGCTGTCCGAAAGTTAAATCAATCTTCGTTTCGCAAAGTTTTCCTGCTCTTGCTTTTGACACTTGGCTGGTCGCATTTTTGGCCAAAAGCGAAGGAGGGCCATAATTGTCAGTGGCAGGCTCTAGTTGGTCCCAAGATTGGGCAGAAAAGTTGAGAAGGGTTGAGTTCAGGACGTGATTCGACGTTGTAAGATGCTGTACAACCAGTTGTATGAATATGAAAATAAATAAAGGGTTGAGCTGCAATAAATGTTGGACTGTACAAATTATTCGGCCTTCCAAGAGCCATTCATTTAAGGAGCACAACTCTTGGTTGGCTCTGATTTACATCTAGTCGTGGCTCCACGAGTTAAAGTGACTGCTTTAGCGTGCTCCAACCCAGAGCAATTGTTTTTCCGGAGATTTTCCTGGCTCTCATCTGAATTCCTGGATTCCTGGATTCCTGCTTTAGTGCGCCATAAACCCGGAGTGCAAATACGAGAAGGCAGCACGAAAGTCGCATTGAAATTGAAGCCTGTCTCAATGTTTTTGTTGTCGTCTGGCGAAGACACTTGAGACTGACATATAAAACATGTCTCGTTGAAAGTGCGTGAGCTTCTGCTCTGCCTGCACTGTGCATACTGTGAGAACAGGACTCACCGAGGCAGACATGTCCTTCCTTTCAGGAGCACGCCTATCCATTCCGATTTTCAGTCCATTTCAATGGGCAAGCTCCCTCTCTTATCGTCACAGGCAATTTGATGCCTGATATTTTTACCATTTAGTTCAATCAATTTATCACAATTTCCGGCAGTGGTTGATAAAAACCAAAAACCAAAAAACAAAACCAACACAACCAACACAACCGGCAGAAAAGCACCCTGAGCCAGGACCTATTGAAATCTAATGGGACATACAGCTCCGTGACTGGGGAAGACGATGAGCATGGCGATGTGGATGGTGCTCCGCCTGGTGGGTGGATGGGTGAACGGGTGGATGGGGATGTGGGGATGTGGAATGCTCGCAGGTCATTGATCAGATCTACGCGACACACATAACAATGGGCCCTGGACCGAACCCAAACTGGCACGTACTCCGAAAATTTGTAACTTGTTGAAATAATTTCCTTCCTTTTAACCCCAGAAGGACTTGATGTGGTTAGCCTTTCCGTATGGTAAATGCCAAACATTTATGAACTGCATTGTAATATACATGGTTTTCCTAAATAATATGCTGAAGATATTTCACTTTCATTGGGAACTTTAACTTTATTTTTTAGACAAAATTCTCTACGACTTTTGTTTGCAGTTTTCCGTTCAATACGGCCACGAAGACTCTGATATAATACAAGAACTCTGTACCCACTTCAATCAATTAAATAAAGTGGTGCCAGGCATAAAGTGATGAAGTTTATTA